TGCTGATTATCCGGGGTCGGCTGCAGGGGCAGCAGTCTAAGCAGGGATGCCCAGACCTCCCTCTCCCCAGCCACCTCCTCCAGCTCCTCTGGGGGGATACCAAGGCGTTCCCAGGTCAGATGAGAGATATAATCTCTCCAGCATGTCCTGGGTCTGCCCCAGGGTCTCCTCCCAGTTGGACATGCCAGAAGCACCTCCCCAGGGATAGATGTCCAAACCACCTCAGCTGGCTCCTTTCAATGCGTAGGAGCAGCGACTCTCCTTTGAGCCCCTCCCGAATTTCCGAGCTCCTCACCCTGCCTCTAAGGCTGAGCCCAGACACCCTGCAGAGGAAGCTCATTTCTCCCGCTTGTATCTGCGATCTCATTCTTTCAGTTACAACCCAAAGCTCAGGACCTTCTGGCTCAGCTCTTTCTTTACCACGACAGAACGGTACAGATTCTGCATTACTACTGCTGCTGCACCGATCTGTCTGTCTGTCTGTCTGTCTGTCTGTCTGTCTGTCTGTCTGTGTCTGTGTCTGTGTCTGTGTCTGTGTCTGTGTCTGTCTCCTGCTCCCTTCTTCCCTTACTCGTACACATGAGCATTATTCACATTAATTTAGCAAACAAAAATGAACAATTTACAGTGGCTGCTACAAAAAAAAACCTGCACAGGAATCTGAATTAATTGTGATCGTCACAGTTTACAAAATCAGTTGCACGACATTACACTGCTTACAGCAAGATCCCCCAGGCAGTGTGAGCTACTGGGGAAAAGCCGTTTGCCATAACTGCTTATGCTTATCTGATTGCCACAAGCCTAAAATCTAAGCCAGTATGCAGGACATGAGGGTGGGTGTTCCCTCGACAAGACGCCTGTCCATGAAAGAGCACACAGTCACACGCACAATCTCACTATGAGCAATTTAGACACGCTAATGGTGCTAACTGTCAGTGGCACTGGTGTTCACACCAATTCACCTAACCGCACTTCGTTGGACCGTTCAAAGAACACAAGGTGCCAAGAGAATGCAGGCATTACTGCTTGTGTGATCCCAGATCAAGGAGCCATTCAAAGCTGAAGGCTGTGAATTCAAAGGATTACATCATCGTCGCAGCAGACTTACATCAGCTAAGGAACCTCCTGACTTGGTTTAACACTCATTAATGTAAGACTTTCCAATCCAGAAGCCAGAGGATGTACATAATAAAATTTCCTTCATAAGACAGGAGACAAACCATGAGACTAACAGAAAAAGGCCTTAATTTATTTTCATATGGATGGATATATGAAATTAAATTTGCTTGAAATGATTTATAAATTACATTTGTACATTATATATTCCTTATCTAGAAATTAATTTGACCCGACATCAATTAAACACTTAACCTACATGTGTCAATTAAGAACAATGGAAAAATAATGGAAACGCTTAATATTTGCAATAACGTATATGGGAAGCAGGTACCTTATGCAAAACTCATTTTAAAAAAAAATCTGCAACTGGTGTAAGAACAGATGTATTGAGCAGCAGAAAAAAGTTGCATAGTCAAGATATTGCAAAGCCTGCTGTCAACAAGCAGATGAGTACATATGTAATGACACCATGAGATGTCAATAGGCTCTTATACTTGGTACTTTCACTGAAAGGTGCAGGATTCATTTTCCTGTCATGGTCTGCTAGAAAGCTAGACATTACATCACCACATTTAGAACTGTAGCTCTGAGACTATGTAAATATTATGGTGAATGTTGAACCTGCTGAGAAAAATCTTCCAGGATGAAAGGAAGCATGGCAAAATTGACTTTTTTTTGCCTATTCCATCTCACTCTCCATGAGGCACACAGACACATACACAAGTGAGAGCAAGTTTGCAGGTCACGGTGCAGAGCCGTCCTGAATCCAGCTACCCAGAAGCCATTGGGGTCTGCCGGCCCCAGGATCTGAGTTGGTGACCTTATGATCGCAGCCACTGACATCAGTATGCCGGCATAGGGTGACCAGGTGATCCATGTCAGGGAGGACACTTTCCAATCTCACCCACTATCACCAAACACAAAACATCAGAACTGCTGGTATCGCTCCTCTTCCTGACATGTAAAGGCCATGCCAAAGCAGACTGAAGCTATTCTGCTGGCTCTTGGAGGAGAAACATCCTGTCAAATGACAATGATGGGTTTTCCTTTATTTTGAAGATTACCTGAATCCTGTTGCTAAGAGTTTGGTGTATCTCATGCCATGGGCGCCTGTATTCAGTTTTTGGTAGATTTTTGAATGCTATTAAAGTATATCAGCAGGCCAACCTTATACAAAATTACACAACCACTGAAAGTCTGAGTAGACAACCGTCTTCGGATAATAAATAATGTTAAATGCTTTTGTTCACAATATATTAATGGCTGTGAACCACGGCAGGGCTTCGTGTTGGGTAAGCCCCTGACCATCCAGTCAAATACAGTGGACCCTCGAGTTACGCTTACAGATCATTTTCTCGTAGAAAAAAAAAACCTCCCGTAACCCCAGAAAAAAGAAGCTTAACTCTGATTGGCCAGGCAGTCCCGTGTCGTCATAGACAAAAGAATTGAAGTTAGAAGCAAATCTTTTAGCTGTCAATGACCGATATACAAATACATTGATTGAGTGAATGACATTCGCACATACCAAATACAAATCAACAGCCGTCATTATGCAGAAAGCCGTTTAACTACAATTTAAAAAGGTTGTCACTACAAAAGTTAGAAATATCAATTATACCAAGTTAATAAAAATAATCATATAGGGCAGCTTAATAAATAGCAATACTACTTACTCGTGGTACTTAAAAGGCGTATGAAATGCTCTAAACATCTCCGCACAAATTACCAACCCCAGAGAGTTAATGAACAAGTTGTCAGGGTAGCCGGTCATATAAACCCAAGTTCACTGTGTAACTTGCTTTCAGTAACTTACCGTCTTTTACAAGCGACAAATCACAGCGGGAGACGTGGAGCATCGTGTAAACTCTGTGCCTTGGGCATTTCCCGGACACAAATAAAAAACTTAGAAACGAGGAATAACAGCGCAGAGAGACACTTACCAGCACTATCTGCAGGCTGCTCCGGACCCCTGTGTATACCCGAGTACCCACGTCTCGAGCCTAGGTGCAGGAGGAGTCCTAAGCGACCACAAGGGGGGTGGTGGCGGGGGTTAAGATGTGCAGGACAAGGGCAAAACCGCGTCGACGAACAGTATAACATTTCACAACACACTACTAATACACCGTATCATTAATTCCCATTAATTATCATCACTAGTACGAACATTTAAAAAGATCTAATCCTCCCCTGACATTCTGTTCGCACCGCTGACGTTTTTTAACACGCCAAGTTTATTTAAAGAGCAGCGGTCAAATCATAGGTGGTACATTGTGGACGTGCTCTACGGCGGTATTTGAAGTAAGTTGAAATAAAATTCACATAAAGCACACAATCTTGTGTATACTGTAGGTGTGTGTGTGTGTCTATATATAAATACAGGCACACAGACATATAGGCACACACACAGTATAAGACGCTTCAAAAAGATCCACTGTATGCACATGTATTTTACTTAATTTTTCTGATATGACGTGATTTATACCTGGTTAGAGAGTATTACAAGTATCCTTTAAATAGAGTGAAACACTTCCTTCTGGTTTCAAAGGAGTTGGTGTCACAAGTCTTTTGTTACAAAATTATCTGAGCTCAAAACTGCATCATGTTTTCCTGACTTTTTTACGCTCCAGTGTGAAAGTATCCCACCCAACTTTGTTCCGTTTAATGTTAAATACGATGGCTGCATGGCTGGCACTGTCTTTTGAGCCCCCGGGGCTGGTGGTTCAAGTCCTTCCTTTGCTGTTTTTGTGTAGTTCTCATGTCCTACATAACCGTGTATGAGTGTGTGTTCATGTACCCTGAGATGGGCAGACACACTATATAGGATGCCCCCCACACACAAACACTCTGCTCAGGACATCTCTACTGCAACATATTAAGACATTTTATTGCATTTCCAATACAGTTCTGTTCAGAAATAGAACCAACTTCAGTGAAATGTTTTAATAATTTAGCCAATTATATGCTCATTTGCAATTTTCCAAAGTTTTACATAACCCCCATATTGAAATTAGTACTAGTGTTAACTGAGTCTTTTACCAAATGACCTAAATCAGCAATAAAATGAAGTATACCTCCAAAAACAAGAGGCATAAAAACAAGCCCACAAGGTACACAGCTGAAAAGATACTGCAATTGGTACAATTGGTATGATTTCTTCATAATGACCTCATTACCTGACATGAAACACAATACACAAGTATCACTTTAAAATTTCTTGAAATACACAAACACATCCATAACGTATTTAGTCATTTTACGATCATACTCAGTTTTATGATCACCCAACACACATTTTTAATGATTTAAGCAATATCCTTTTAAAGGGCCCTTCTGTTTAATACATTCACTTGTTTCAGTGCTATACAAGAGAGGAAAATAAGATTTTGCTGTGGTGGGTTTACCTTACACATTAAATGTTTAACCCGCCAATGAAAATTACACCCATACAGCTAACTCATTACGGGCAAAAAAAAAAAGCTGTACCACTTTACTGAAGAAGTTGTTGAACTATTGTGACAGCACAGTGCAGCAATATAATGCAATGTACAACCTCTCCCCAGGTTACGATGGGTTTACGTTCCGATAAACCTATCGCAAGGTGAAAATATCGTAAGGCGAAAATGCATTTTAATACAGTACACCTAACCTAACAAACATCATAGCCTAGCCTAGCCTAGCCTAGCCCTCCTTAAAAACATGCTTAGAACATTTACATTAGCCCAGTGTTTCCCAACCCTGTCCTCGGGGAACCCCGGACAGTCCATGTTTTTGCTCCCTCCCAGCTCCCAGCCAATCAGGAACACCGAATACCTGGTACAGGTGCACTGGGAGCTGAGAGGAAGCAAAAACGTGGACTGACCGGGGTTCCCCGAGGACTGGGTTGGCAAACACTGCATTAGTCTACAGTTGGGCAAAATCATTAACTCAAAGCCATATTTCATAATAAATTGTTGAATATCCCATGTAATTTACTGAATAATGTACTGAAAGTGAAAAACATTTATCAATCGTAAAGTTGAAATACCAAAATAAGGACCATCGTAATCCGGGGAGCGTCTGGATAAGGCCTTTATAAAAACGATACAAAAGTAATATACACTGTTCAGCTTCTACCATAGTTTGGCAGGTACTAACAATGTACTGCAAAATGGTTTCAGGTGCTCTGAGACCATGACTTGTGTCAGAAGGTACTGAAATATAACCTCAGAAGGGGTTTGAACAAATTAGTTTGGAGTAAACCTGCCATATTGGATATTAACACTCAAAATTCAAACAAAAAGACAGTAAAACTGGGAAATGTATTCTGTTGACACGACAAGTGTGTTAATATCAGGGGACAAACTGACATATAAAAAGAAATTTGGTTAAAAAAACATTTGGTACATTGGTAAAGTGCAGGGAGCCAGTTCTACATTAAGATCACCCTCTTTGAAGATCTCAGAGTCCCTTAGCTTTGCTCCGATTGTGCTTGTATTTGTGGTAGACCACACCAAGCGTAGTGAAGAAGTTCCCCATGAACAAAACAAGGTAGGAGGCTCCACACATGGCCACCTGAGAAGAGGATTCAAAAAACACACGTCACCATTATACAGTACTGATAAATCTTCATATTGATATGTAGGATGCATATGTGCACTTTGTACTTATTGTCATTTTATCAAAAAGTCAAATAACAGTTCATTATGAAAAACGTTTCTATCAAACATTTTAGCAATAAGAGGCATCTGTTAGCTGTTTATGTGTATCTATGTCTATGTGCTTGCTCTGTAGGTGCAATGAAATGCAATATACATTATCAAAAAACTGCTCTTAGGATTTCATTGCATTAGCTTTTAGCCTAGCATGTCCTTCATCCAGTGAAACACATATTAAGATAATATTCTTGTATTAGACTGTACAGCTCATATATAGAAAGCATTCCATATATCATTCCTTGATATTGAACAACAAGCAAAGTCAGCAACAGCTTCATAAGTGGCTTAACCCCAATTTGAGGTTTGGAATAATTTTCGACAAAAGATGCAGCCAGGCACACAATGCAGCAAAGGATTTGTGGTCACGCTGACCTGCCACTCTTTACACTCTGGGAGTTGGGCCATCCTGAAGAGAGTTAGGCCATTGTAGAGCTGCCAGAACTGGAACAAAAAATAAAAAGGGTGAAAAACATTTTTAGTAGGCAGCCGTGATACGTCTGTAGCTACAAGAGCTCTTACTAATGAAACAATGACCATGACTCAGCACTTACTGACATGCCTAGAAAATGTATTTCACCACCGTTAACCATGATCTGGCAAGATTTCCAATATGGGACACATTTTCATTGCTGATTCAGAATTGAGCAACGATCAGACCTGACACAGCTCTGAGAACGAAACTGCCAGAAGAGACCATGTGACACTCACATGACCAAAGAAGAGGAAGGGCAGGAGGAAGGTCAGGCCTCGCCACATCCAGGACTGAAATCCCTCTGAGTCAAAAAAAAACAGCATGCAAAATAATCATAATTAATCCAGGATGACACATGGAACTGATATGTATTAAATATGTGATAAATCTTTTCTCTATCTGTCCACCATGGTATTACAAGCAGAGGTGGAAATATTAGGTCCAGAAAGAAAAAATCCAGACCAAGATTTTGTTTCAACCAACCTTTTGGGTATGAACAGAAACAGTACTCAACTGGTTTGTTGACACAAAACCTTGGTCTGGATTTGTACTTTCTGGACTGGAACTTTCCATCTCTGATTGCAAGTGAATAATTAAAAAGCAGTTGGAAATTCTAAGAATGATATCAATGTTTTATCGAAGTGTTATCAACATAGAAGACAGTAAATTGTTAAAGATACGTGTTTAGCATGTGTAAACAGTGAGCTGTTGCTTATGTACCACAAAACCATTTATTGTCTCACCTACTGTAAGGTCCATGTTGTGTCTCTCCCCCAAAGCTCGCAGTCTATAGAGACACCCGCTCTGATAGTAGTACTGCAGGAACTGCACAAAGCCTGTGTTCACAAGCACAAAGGGCAGAAGCGCTGGTGTAAACGCTTTCAAAAGCAACACCTGAACACAGGTTCATTCTAGGTGTCCAATGCGGATAAATATGGTTTGAAGCTGGCAACCATGTATCATACATTCAACTGGGAACACAAACAGATTAACTAACAAGCAGAACTAACAACACACAACACCAGCCAACTAATTCTAGAAACCACAAGTGCAAAAATAGCATGGAGTTGGTGAGAGTTAATGAATTGAATTCAGGAGGCTTCGAAATATCCTGCATTTGTGTTACTTGTAATTCCACCCACTGTCATCATCACAGTTTCAGGCGTCTATTTCAAGATCTGTGATTGGCTGCCCAGAGTGACCATGTGTCCTCTATGGGGAAGTGGGGAGAAGAGTCTCAGCATGATGGAGTAGTGGGCGTGTCAAAAGGTGGGCATGTCAAAAGGTGACGCATGCAATAGGGCAGGCGTGCCAAGGGTTATTTCTGTTTGCTAAAAATACTGTCAATAAACGTTATTTCAGAAAGAGACCAGACATTCACCAGACATATAGGTCACGCAATATCTATGATTAACAGATATCTAAAATTAAATGCCTGTTTCATATTTGTTCACATAGCGTAAGACATGTCTTGTGCTTGTTTACACTTGCCACCATACTTCCAGAAAGTGCAAAGGAAAGTATGCGCGTGGTTCCACCCACTTTGCCACGCTCTACTCAGTTCAACACGCCCACAAAACTTTCGAAATGCTCTCCTTTCAACACGCCCAGTACTCCAGCCTGCAGTGACCTATACCAGCTGAAGTGTGCTACTCCAGTCAAACGGCATCATGAAGGATGGCTAAGGTCCTCATTTTACCGCTAACCAGTAACCAAAAAGTTATCTGACAGTCTAGGTAAAGTTATGCGACATGTGCAGCCACATAACTAGCAACAGCTGCTTTTCTTACATCAGTATAGTCAAATTTAACTAGGGGCTGCCGGGAAAAACGTTCAAATAACACAAGCCAGATTAAAGCAGGATTCCAGATTCCAGCCTGCGATTAATGTACACTTACTTTGGTACAAAGAGTAGGTAAGGAATTGGTTCCTGAACATCTGGTAGAGCCTCCCATCAGGCCTGTGGGGTTATAAAATGAGGAGGTGAAGACACATACCAGAAATACGGTTAAACACTCAATACCAACACCCAACAGAGAATGTGTTTTGCTTGGGAAGACTCCTTCAGTCTAAGGTGTTTGAAGCATCTATAAATCAGTTGGGGAGGCCAATTTATAATGAAAATACTAAACAAAAAGTAAAGTGGTGGTTGAGGGCAGATAGATAGGATGGTTTAAGCTACTGCTGGTATATCTGGGCATGAAAATGGTGCCAAATATTAAACTGATCAGAACGGTGCGCAGGAAGGGCATGTTTTGGGGGAGGGACGAGGTTGGGGAACAAGTCCCACAACTCACATGTAACTAATTTCCTGTATGGAGAGTATAAAGCTAGCTGATGTAGGTGTTAGAATGAAAGGGTCTAGTGACAGTGATCCAGTTGCCTTGTGTTTATGCTTTGATCCGAGAGCGAAATGGTTGTTTTGTTATTTGCCTACTCGTCTGTCCATCCTTCCCCAAGAGTGCTAAGAAAATCGCCGCATTCCATCCTCCAATAACAGGGTGTTATGGATCTATTCAATGGCCAGAAGTAGGGATGCTCATATTGACCGTTTAACCGTTAACCGAAAGAATGAATTTTGACTGATTATTACTATCAGTTAAACGGTTTAAAATGTATATATATATATATATATATATTTATTTTTTTAAATATTATTATTATTAGTAGTAGTAGTAGTAGTAGTAGTAGTAGTAGTAGTAGTAGTACTATAAAGTTTTGCGGCATAAATATGCTACACACACGCTATTTGTTAACTCATGGGGCGTTATCACGTGCAGCCACACGTGCCTTCAGACGTATTTTGCCGGGCAAGCAAAATGAAGCGAGCGAAAAGTAGTACTTATTCTTTTTATTTATATTAATTTGTTTTTCCCTGTTGTCGGAAACGCTGCAGGTGCGTGAAAATTTGACGATGTGTGAATCCAGATTCTGTTCTTGATATGTTCTGTGTGCTGTTGTTCATGTTAAAATAATTCTAATTTAATATTCTAATCTGATCAGTTAACGAGTAATGTTCAGATAACGAACGGCGGTTGTCGGTTGGGAAAATTAATCGAAATGAGCATCCCTAGCCAGAAGATAGAAGTTCAAGGAATGATTCTTTAAAAAATAAAAAAATAAAATAAAAAAATCAATCCAAAAACAAAACACTGCTGTTAAACATGTTTGTTGAAATGTGGGAAGACCGTACACACCGACTACAGGTAGTATTAAATGAGCAGCTGGTAACACAGATGATCTTACAGTCCGGGGAAAAAGAAAGTACACCCTCCCTCAATTCTATGATTGTATTTGTCAGGGTCGAAAAAAAAATTGGGTGATGCAAAACATCCATTTCCAGAAAATGTTTAAAGCTATTTATCTACTGAGGAAAAAAATGTTTAATATCACTAATAGTATGGAGCAGATTTTGTGCCACCTTGAAATGCAAATATGACTTTGGCATGCGGGGCAAAGCAAATCGACGTGACGTATTGTCTTACAGTGTGCAACACGCAGAAACCGTGCCATGTGGAAATGCAATGCACAAGAGGCACTGCTTTTCCGTGCGTGTTGTATGCAGAATGTGACACAATGAAAAGCAAAACCATCATTCCTTTGATTTGCATCTTGTTCAACTACCAGCCAGAAAAACAATTAGAAGGGTTTACATTACACATAATTTAACGATGAAATTATGCCACATCACACTGAAATGGCCGGACCACTCGTCGTGAGGTGCACTCACCAAGTCAGCATGACGCCAGAGAGGAAGGTCGACACATAGTGGTGAAACACCCACCAGCCCTTGATTCTGAAATGACAGGGCAGACAAGAAAAAAACTGCATTAGTGACGAGACAGTGGCTTAGTTACAAAAGTCTTAGTGATCTGCAACATCACACACCAATACACACCAAAGCAGATTTGCTCATTATGTATTATAACTGGTGCAGCTGCATGTACTAAAAAAAGGCTTATTTTGATCTACAAGTCTATAGTTTTTTTAAACAAACTTTTACAGTATCCATCCATTTTCTGTACCCACTGCTCCTATGCAGGCTAACAGGAGTCCAGAGCCCATCCCGGAAGTTATGGGCACAAGGCAGGGAACAACCAGGAGGCGGTACCAACCCATCACAGGGCACACACACACACACACACACACACACACACACACACCTTGGTAACTCCAATTCATCATAGCGTGTTTTTGGACTGTGGGTGGAAACTGGAATACCCGGAGGAAACCCCACGATGACACAGGGAGAACATGCAAACTCCACACATATGGAGCCATGGTGGAAACTCGAACCCAGGTCCCAGGGGTGTGACGCAACAGTGCTATCCACTGCACCACCACACCACCCTCTTTTACAACATATGAAGAACATTTCTGTGATGTATAAAGAGACTGAATTACCAAACGATGTCAGGAATGACGTTAAGACATCTTGGCCTGGACAATTGAATCTCTCACGTTCAAATCATACTTACCATCAGCAACACCCCTCCCCCCACAAAAAATAAATTACAGTGTAATGCAACTTGTACCAGAGCTCAAATCCTTGCAGAGACTATACCAAAGTAAACATTCATGATTTTTAACTTTATAATATTGCTGGACTGCTCTTCTGCCAGAATGAATTCCTGCTCCAGGAAGACCAGCCCCGACGACCGTGGACCAACCTGGAGCCGTTGCTGATGAGGATGCTCTCCCGGATGGTCAGAGTGCAGTAATACCACACCAGCAGGAAATTAAAAAGTGCATCCACCACTCTGCAGGCAAACACAAAGGCCAGTCACATATCTGCAAACTGTGACCTCAGCAAAGCCAAGGAGAGACTCAAACCGGTACATTAAGAAACATTCACCTCAGTAAAATATGTGATCTATACATAGAGGCTAATGTCCTTTTTCATGTTGAAAATACTCAAGTTTAAATAAAGGCAACATGCTTATCACAGTATACGGCACCAAGGTCCCAAACAGAAAGATGGACTCCAGTCCATCATTCACTACTTCAGTACCATATTACTCGTCTGATTGCTACAGATGACAAGACACTGATTTCTCTACTGCTAGAAATTTAATTCTATGACAAGCTAATCTTTAGTACCAATGCCTGTAAGCTAACCAGTCAAAGAAATGTTTAAAGGCCTTAATCTGGGTAGTAAGTGTTTATTTTCATTTAACATTGAAATATATGCAAATGAACAAGATTTTTTTTTTACTGATGGCTATACGAACACTGCTTCAATTCCCAAGGATCTCCTTGGGAACATCTCAGCCTTTGTTAAATTTCAATGGCAGCTCAATTAATCAACTTAAATAATTTGATGACGTCCTGATTAACCAGAGATGGTATGCTAGTAGTCAATAAAAACATTATTGAATGGTTACTGCAAATATCAGGTGACTATAGGAGAGGTTTTGAAATAGTTAAGCTAACACACATTGAGAGACGTATCATAGTTTAATGCCAATATGATGATCATATAAACATCATTTTCTTTCACTGCCTAAGACTTTTGCACAGTACTGTACTTCAGAGCTGGATTTTACCATGGCCCTTAATAACTTTGCAGGTGTCACATATTATTCTGGGGAGATTTCCTGTAAACTTTCCCCATGGCTGGGCCAGCAGTAGGGACACACATACAGTCATACACTACTGGCAACAGTGCATATAAAGATCTAATGCGACATAATGCGTTGTGTCTGTAGAAGTATATGCAGTACTGTGCAGTATAATTGACGTATGTCTAGGGAGGAGTACATCTATACTGTCAAACAGATCTTCCTTGTCTGTCTACACAGATACAATAAACAAGAGGTTCAACATTTGTTGATTGATTTCATTGTCATTTAAGAATATAGCTGTCTGTTTTGCAATTATCTCTTTAATGCAGTCTGCAGGTGGACAAGAATCATCTGATTCACCATACATAAAGTTAACACTGTACTGCAGTGTTGCTCAAGTAACAAAGTAACAATCAAAAAAAGCAGACTGAACAGGCATGTAAGCTTTAATTTGTATCAACACTGTGATAATAATGTGTCACAAAGACGGAATCTCTAACATTGAATGGAAAGCACAAAAGCACAGAAAACATAATGAAATGGAATTTAGCCTCTGACTCTGGGGTGAATTCCCAGTACAGACATGTCCTTTATGTTACTCCAGGATGACAGATATGGGCCCATCCATTACAAGCACCTCGACTGGATAACTGTTTGGAAGCTTCCAGTTGACATGAGGCTAATATACTGTATGCTGAATAAATAGTCTACCAATGTTCATTAGAACATTTATCATAGCATGTTTTTATATTTCTCCTGTAAAATACCTTGATTTCACATGTTTCCTATGGGAAAAAAAAATCATTTCTATTGTATAATTACCCAAATAGATTAGGATGCAAAATGCTACATATTCATTTATACAGCACTGGGCAGGCAGACTGTATTAAACGATTATGAGATGAGCTGGTGAGACCAGCAGTAAAACATGGCAGACTGTATTAAACAATTACGAGATGAACTGGTGAGACCAGCAGAAACACACACCTGACAGACTGCATCAAACAATTACAAGATGAACTGGTGAGACCAGCAGAAACACACACCTGACAGACTGCATCAAACAATTACAAGATGAGCTGGTGAGACCAGCAGAAACACAAACCTGTAGGTAACGACGAAGCGGCACGTGAAGGAGAACAGCAGAAGTAGCACAGTGAGGCACAGCTTGAACTTCTCGTATTCGTCTTTGTAGGCAAATCTGTGAGGGAACAGGAACACAAGTGATTATAGTCTGAAGTAGCACCTGATAAATTTAGAAACACTGACTGGCACGACTGGAAAGTACAGGCTCACAATGGGAAGAGACTGGAGGGTGTGAAACGTGCAAAGTCATTAAGCACCATGTTGTAGTGTGTATATGTGTGAAGGACTGGGATCCTATTCAGGATGGCCCTCTTGCCCATGTAATACCCCCCATGACCCTGTCAGGGGTAAGCAGATGGAAAATGCATAGACAATGACATTGGCAGACAAAGTGGTGGTGTGATGCCATCTAGTGGCCAAACTGATAGCTGCTCCACCCAGTCAAAAAGACTCTTCTGTTACATTTGGGTAGGAAAAATCATCCATCCATCCTCAAACAATTAATTCTGGTCGTGGTCATATTTTACATTCTCTATCAAAAAAAATCTGACTGTACAATAAAATTGGACTCATCAATATAACAAAAAATTTTCTTGCACGTAAATGAAAAAACATGCAAAGCAATACTCACTTGGCCTGCTTGTTGAGCAGAGTTATATTGACGTTACCCAGAACAAGACTGAGATACAACCTAGACAAAAGTGAAGAGAACTTGGATTGTGAGTTGGAACAAGCAAGAAGGTTTAATGACAACAGCAGTGTGACAGCTGACAGCCTCAAATAGGACTGGTCACCTGATAAAGTTAAAAGCAAAGAGCATGGATGGCAGCAGCTTACCCATTCTTTTTTGGGAGAAAGGACTCCATTTCAAAGAAGACGTTTGGTCTTTCTCTGATGTGATCCTGGATTTCTTCTATTGCACTTACTTCTTCTGGACTTAAAGTCTCTCTGCATCTGATAATGAGACAAAGATTTATTAAATATATTAAACAAACGGGTACGAAAAAAAAAAAATCACACCTAGTGGAACCACCAGCCAGTTTCCATCACTGCACTGACAAGCAGCTCTCTGCATCGACATGGCTAAAGGTCAGCAGGTGACGGCTGAGGCACGATGCCCAGGTACGCACTGCTCCAGCGACGCAGACAGATCCTTCAGCTTCTTCTTCTGCCTGGTGATGTAAGCCGAGCAGCTGTCCTGCAGCTTGGAAACCTCCTCCAGCTTCTGTCGGTACAGGCGGTGAGTCTCCTGCAGAGGCGACAGAGAGACAGCTTCTCCGTAAGTCGCTCTCCATCCAACGGCACCAGGTTACAGAAAAAGACGAGCTCATATTCGTGATCTTGACAAACCAGCTTAAAAAAAAATTTAAATCAAAATTGACAGTGTAAGTTAATTACGTGCTACAGTCTTCCTGACATGTTCCTGTGGCAGCATTGCTGTGAGGCAGCTGCTTGTCTAGTTGAATAGATCACTGCACACAAAAATGACACTTCATGAACCATGTGCTATATTTTTTGACCCCACTAGATGGTGCTCTATGTTAAAAAAAGAGCACAAAACACACTCCAAAGCAAAGTAAGAGCACCATCTAGTGTGGTTAAAAAAATAAAAAATAAAACAGCAAATGAAATGTCATTTTGTCCATCACTACCTCTTATTTTATCCCAGTGTCACCACTTCAGATATTGGGCCCCACAAAAGCATATTGAATTGGGCCCCCAACCCAGACCAATTATATTCCATCGCCCCTCTTTATGGCAAGCCTGCTTTATTCTATCCTACCATAACTACAACTGCCGTTTCATGCTGCCATATTGTGTTTGGCTTTGCTTTTGTTGGATAATTTGATCCGCTACGCAATCTGCCTCTCCGCTCAGCCAGATGTCCCATATTGGTGGCAGACATTGGCCAGAATTCATGCCATGGATGTAGCAGACCTCAGGCAGAGCTCATGGAGAGTAGAGATTTAATGACTGGTCTACAAATGGCTGGAGGGAGAGCTGACCCGCAAACAGCATGATGAGCCACAGATGGCATCACAGAAATAGCACCACACATAAACAGACATTACTCTCTGTCCTGTTCATTGTTAGCATGTCCAGTGGAGGTTGGGCAGCCAGTTGACCTTTGACCCCCAGAGGTTTTTTCTCCTATATAAAACTATGGGGTTTTGTGTCTACAACTGCACCATCTTATTCACTAGTCATTTATGGTGCTCTTGGTATGCGAGTAAGTGCCACTGTTTTACGATTACGTGCTTTGGGGCAGCCGTGTTGGGAACCACACTATATAAAAATAATTGCTCCAAAACAGCACAGATAAAGCCCACAAGAATTACTGAATCTAAGGTTTGTTTGTGCAATTCACATTGAGGTTTACCCTGCTTCACATGACACATACCCCATAATAAGCCAGCAAATACGTTTAACTGTAGATTCCTGCGCCAATAACATAACAGCATGGTGTTTCATTTTACGTTGAATTTCAGTTTAAAACGGCAGAATAGTATAGTCAATATTAAAACAAACTAGTCAAGTATATATATACACAGGTGAGTCTTTTCAATCCATCAATATCATTTATTTAACTTGTGTAAATGTAAGATTTGCTTCAGATAAGCTGACGAACAAATCCAAGTAACATGGGAATGAAAAGGAGGAAGGGAGATTTGTAATAACTTGTGTTACAACATCCAGGCGTGAAACGAAATGAAAGCAGAGGGGAAGCTGAAAAGAAAAATAGGACTGATATAGAGCTTGGGGGAGGATAATGATGCTTGGCTGGCGATGGATGTGAGGTCAGCGCCTGGTGAGATAATATACCACGGGGAAATGGCCGCAGGTGAGCGGTGCTTGGCATCTAACCCTAACCATCCCAGAAGATGCATGTCTTCCCTGTCTAACGGAAAACAACAAGGCTTCCATGTATGGGGAGAACCGGGGCTGCGGTTTGCAGAGACAATGTCCTTATCCTATAGAATTTCATAGTTCAATAGTTTCATACACTTTTCATTGAAGTGGCTCGTCTCCGTCTCCCAGAATGAGTCACAGGCAGCTCCTTACAAGCCGTAAACATCTAGGCGTCCTGGGAAAGGGAGGCTGTACATTAGCTGTTGTTTTGTGCTATTTCTTAGGTTCAGCCAACATACTCTGCCTACCACCATTCGGAAACATAACACAACTACGACAAGCAGCACTGACTATATGGGAACTTTACTTATGTACAAAGAGAAAGAACTGACTATTTCTGAGAAACCCATCAACAACTTGAGAAACAGTATAATATTGAATGGATATATATTAGGGATGTAAGCAATTAATCGATTATCAATTAATTGTCGATAAGAAATTACTCGATTAAAATTAATTAATTGCAATTAATTGTATTTTGAACCCATAATTCCTTGCCAGTCCTCGTGGGGCGCACTTGACGCCAGACGTACTCGACGCACACGCGGGAACACAAGCAAACAACAGATAAAACAACAGATAAAAGAGAAACGGTACACAGAGGATGAAGAGGGCAAAACGGAGTGCAGTATGGAGCCACTTCAAGTGAGCTCAGAATAAACCTTTGATTAAGGAATATGATTTGCATTTTTTCTTCATATCATATAGAAGATAGCATTCTATGTTACGTATACAGTAGATGGAACCTATTCAGAGGGAAATTCGGCTTCTCAGAAAAATTGCCGCTTAGCAATTAATCGATCATCGATCATCGATCGATAAGATGAAACAACTATTGATTAATGAATTACTCGATAATTTGCATCCCTAATATATATATACACATATATACACATATACACACACACACACACACATACATACACACACACACACACACACACACACACATACATACATACATACACACACATATGTATATGCTATTTGCATATATTTTTGTTTGCAAATAAACAGCCTGGAGCCAAAAACAGAACAGATGAGCACTGCCCCACATTGGTACGTGTGCTAGGATCCTAGTCCTCTCCAAGACTCCCAGTACAGTTGACCAGTTCTTACGGCAAATTATAGGACGGTTCTGCTAAAAGGGAGAGACCCAAGGTCACCTCCGGAGCTGAGAATAAGTAGCTTTAGTTGGTTCTGTGACGTAAAAACAACAATATTACAATATGAAACCTTCTGAAAATGTTGTGGGCTCATCAACAAACTATTATTGGTGGAAACTGCTAGGCTGATAACTTCAATGACATATCCATGAGTGCATCACACCATAAAATATGGATGTACACTCACTGGCCATTTTATTAGGTACGCCTCTTCAACTGCTCACTGAAGCAAATATCTAATCAGCTAATCATATGTCAGCAGCACAATGTATAAAATCATGAAGACACAGGTCAGGAGCTTGTCAAACACCAGAATGGGGAAGGTCAGAGGTCAGAAATGAATGATAGAAAGACAACAGTAACTCAAATAACCGCTCGTCACAACCAAGGTGTACAGAAGAGCATCTCTGAATGCACAACACGTAGAACCGTGAAGCAGATGGGCTACAGCAGCAGGAGACCACACCGGGTGCCACTCCTGTCAACGAAGAACAGGAGACTGAGGCTACAGTGGGCACGGGTTCACCAGAAGAGAACAATGGAAAAATGGAAATTCATTGCCTGGTCAGAGGAGTCTCGATTTCCGCTGCCACCTTCAGATGGTAACATCAGAATTTGGTGTAAATAACATAAAAGCATGGATCCATTCCAGCTTGTATCAACAACAGGGATGTATCAACATCTGAGGGATGTTTGAAGCACCATGTTGAATCTCAGCCATGAAGACCTAAGGCAGTTCTGAAGGCAAAAGAGGGTCCAGCCTGATACTAGCTAGGTTGACCTAATGAAGTAGCCAATGAATGCTTATCAGACTGAGAGAGCAACGAGAAATACCAAAAAGAAAGCGATGTGAACAGTGGGACAACATGCCACTCCTGGACTGAGCCTCAAGGACAAGTTTTATTGTCACATTAAGTTGGAAAATACAGTAAAATTCTTGCGCCATAGCTGGGGGGGGGGGCTTGTGTGCATAAGGAGAGACAGAAAACAGCGGTGAAAACATGCAAAGAAAGAACAGGGAGATACTTTCTGAATTTCTTTATTACAGTAAGTTTATGGAGAGCAATTTATTACTCTATATTGGTAAGGTGAGCAGATAATCCATGTCAGGGAGGACACTTTGTTAAACTTCAGGTTTTACGATCTACTTTAAAAACTGAAAGGCTCATACGCTTGGCTTAACAGTTCAGTTCTTATTGTACGTTGACTGGTTTGTTTCCTTGATTGAAAGACTCATCCAGCTGTTAACATTAATATTAGTGACACGTACATGATTGTAGGAGACTGAACAATCAGCACACAGCAATAACTAAGTGCTTAAGTGAAATCCAGGTATTTTTTAATTGAAATGGTAGTTTGCAAATCCTGTCTGAAAGTGTCCTCCCTGACATGGGTTATCTGGTCCCCCTAATATTGGTCAGTGTGTACTTCTATGTGGATCTACCCCAATACATTTGCTTGCTGGGTAACCTCTCACCTATGACTTCAGGGCCGATGACCAAAATCTTTTTAACTTTTACATCATTAGGTTGCGAAATATTGCAGCGAAAGTTCAAGAGTCACAGTCTCGCAGAAGTAATAATCACGTTACATAATTATTTCAAATTACTTTAATGATAAAAAAAATTAATTATAAAATTATATATTAGTTTTAGCTAGACAGATGTATAAAAATAGGGTGTATTTAAAGGTCACGTTTATTTGTGCCGACTACGTTTAAGGACGCGTTCAGTTCAAGGCCAGAGAGCATTCAGTATAATATAACTATTTTTACATATAAAATTACAACAGGCAACAGGTCAATGAATGTGCTATTCGCCATAAACGTCCTAGGAATGTTAAGGTAATAGAAATGTAGTTCGTTCTAACAGCAGCAAACTGAAGAATTGGCATTGTGACATGTCAGAAACGCAACAACACCGCTAGCTACATCTCGAAAATAAAGCAAGCGAGTTTATAGCAGCCACGGATCATTTAAAGCTGGTTATGTACCATCCATCCATCCATCCACCCATCTAAGCGCATATCTTGGTGACGTTGGCGGGCACGGGGGCCTGCAGCCTACCCGAGGTGGCACGGGGCACAGGGCTGGGGTGCAACCCGAATCGGGGTTATACGTGCTACCAACGGCGAAATATACATTCATATAAGTTTGTCTTAAAGACGGATATTTTACAGTTAGCATTTAGCACGAATTTAAAATCGAACAGAAAAACGACACATCTTACATATTACCATTTATGCGTAATTGATAATTAAACAATTTAATGAATTATTAAACATGAATTATAGCCGCTCGTCACAAATCCAGCCAGCGGGCGTTCTGGGGAATCGCACAGGCGGGATTAGCTAAGCACGAATCCAGCTCCACCAGCCATTTCCTTACAAAAGCCAGTAGACCAAGCTCACCTGGACCTGTTGATAGTCTTTTTCCAAAGCCTCCCATTCCTGCAAGCATTCCTTTATGGTGGTGGGACTGTATAACATCTTCAATACAGCGAGAAAAAAGCCGCAAGGCGACTCCCGGCAAGATCCGTATCTGATGGACAATGGGGGAAGCGAGTCATCGCCACACCCCTTTCAGCGTTGACAGCCAATGACGCGCTAAAGTTCAAGATCGCCCCGCCCCCCGATGACCAATAGGCGTTTCCTACGGCTCTAACGGCCGGACACGCCCCGCGCCGTCTTGGGCTACGCGTGCCAAGCTGGAGTCTCTCCTGCCGAATACGCAACTGCTTCGACACACCGTAAGGTTGGCGGGCCACTGACATGCATTGACGACACGGTTCAGGTTCTTTTTGATGAGGCATATGGCGTGTTTGTAATTAACATAAGTCTTCCTGCAGCGCCCATCTGTTGCCTTTTTTGCTTATCAAGTCACATCTCGGAAGACTTGAGCTCGCTATAATGAAGGAGTTGACAGTGCGTCATGAACTAGCAGACGGCACTTCTGTTGCACTGTAACGGTGTGGTGATCTTGATCTTTGACACCTCAAAACTGAACACAATTCTTCCGTTGTATATTGTTCGCGTTATTTATAATAGCATATTTTATAAAGCATTTCTTTTAGAAATGAGCCATCGATAACATTTCTCTGTCATTGTAAAAGCACCTGCTGTATTTCTGCTGTAAAATACATTTCTTGCAAGTATCTAGTAATAAAAGGACAACTCACAAATACTTCCACTTCACCACCCCCCCAGCTGGTTATCCAGTATAAGGTCACGGGGTAATACAAAAATAAATAATAGGCCTCATTTATCATAAAACATTACATTTGATATTTGAGTCACCAAATGGTCATATTGGCTTATCCAACATTGAAATGAGAAGGGGAGCATGAATTATTTCCAATTTCTCAGTCAATAATATACGTACATTTATATAGAAGACATATATTTGATACATGAACTCTTAGAAGACCTTCACAATGACATTTGATTTTTCTAATAAACCAGTTACTAATAGTGTAATTATTCAATCATTTAATTAACTTAACTATCATTTGCTGACATGCAGTCCTATTTAATATTAAAGAATTATTTCTTCAAGTAGCCAGTATTGTACCACACTCATCTCCATGTTGAGTTTCTAGCATGCTTCACCTGCAGTACATATTAAAATCCCGATATATTAACAACTGTGATGGTCTGGCCCCCTGTCCTGGGTTGTTCCCTGCCTCGTGCCCGTAGCTTCCGGGATAGGCTCCGGACCCCCCCGCGACCCATACGGATAAGCAGTTTGGAAAATGGATGGATGGATATATTAACAATTATTAACAATATATATTGCAACAATTAGGGACCAGGCAGTCAAATCACGAGGACACAGAGGACTTACTAAAGAAAGTTTTATTACTCAATATAATATGGGTAAATGATATCAAATCATAACGAACAACTACTGTAGTTCAGAAAAAAGGAGGGCAACAAAACCACAAAACCTAAAATAAACTAATAAACAAAGAAACACAACTTAACTCAAACAAAATGAACCCCCAACTGCCCATCCTCCCAAATACAGCCATGAGGGAACACACAGAGACCTGGCCGATCCATTTAGATACAAAAGGGGGGATACACACATAAACATGACTATTAACATTAACCCATAAAAGGACTAATTACAATAAAGTCTCCCTCGCTTGGCAACCACTTGGGCTCTTCCAATCAGCCGAAATCATAGGTGCTCTATTGCCCTGGGCTGTCAGCCATGCCTTCGTTTGCTGCAGGACAGGACCTCCCCAACCAACGAGGGGGGTGTTCCACAAAGCAGGATTTCTCAGTTAGCTGGGTTAACTTAAGATAGAAGTCATGATTGTTTAGGTAAGGAGCATTCCAATTGGATAGTCATGACTTCTAGCTTAAGTTAACCCAGCTAACTGAGAAATCCTGCTTTGTGGAATAGCCCCCAGGTAACTCAACAGAAAATAAGAATTAATCAAATCTTCATACATCAGACAATATAACAATAATATAAATAAACTCTTAAGACCAAACTGTACAATGATTACTTAAATGTAACTGCAAAAAAAAATTATCTAATGAAATGAGAGAGGATGTATTACCATTTGTGGCCTCAGCCTTTTACCTAAATAAACTATAATTTCATTTGAAAATAATAAAATCTAACTAGCTTTCAGTGAAGTACTCTGAACACTATGGTGACTGTCACACCTATCCCTGATTATAGTTTCTCAGTAGTATGGCTCTGCGATGCTGGTTTTCCTCACTCCAAGTGTGCAGAGCTCCCAGTCAGACAGCTGCTGCACAAACCCCCGGTTTGGTCTCATGTTGGTTTTGCATCTTAGCACGAGTGCCCAGGCCTCCTGCAAAGAGCCAGCAAAATGAGACTTTCAAACTCCTCTATGGATTTTAAAAGCCTTGCTTCTAATATCTGTAGCTGATTCGATTATTAGTGTCTTAAAAATACAGCTCTGGATGTGTAGCAGACACCTCTCCATAATACACAATGCCCTGTAAGAACTCAGCATAAATTACAACAGCTGAAGGTGAGCGCCTAAATCCTTGCATTTTATTGAGTGCATAAATATTGCAAAAAAAAAATTTATGCCCTCCGTGTGTCAAACTGCAAACAGCTCAGCTGTTGATCTGATGTGACGAACGGCAGCATCCCTCACCTTCAGTGTGAATTTCATGTGGTGCAGAAGGAAGGCCATCACTACAGCACTGCAGCGGCTTATACCGCGACTCGAACATATCAACACTGATGAGCCAGCATTGAGATAGGAGCCTAAGATACAGATCAAAGAGGGGAGCTGCAGGGACTTGCAGAGTACATACTTGTAGTGAAAGAAAAAAAGTAAACTCTGTTTTTAGAAGTGGAAAGTTCATGTCCAGAAACTACGAATCCAGACCAAGATTTTGTTTCAACCAACCAATTGCATACGCTGTGACTGTGACTCTATACTCAACTGCTTGAAACAAAACGTTGATCTGGATTTGTACTTTCTGGACCTTTACTTTCCACTTCCGTGTGTTTTAGAAATTTGATCATGTTACAAAAACTGCAAACTCTAAATAAAAGATTGTTAATAAAAATAATAAATAATAGATAAATAATAAGACAGGTGGGTATGAAAAAAGGATTGATAAATAATATAAAATGATAAAACTCTTAAATAAGCCATTGCAAACAACCAAGGAAATGAAACTCACCGATAAACAGACACACCCTCTCAAAAGAGCCAATGAGATCAGCTTTTGCAGAATCCGCGGCAGGAATGTGTAGCACTGTGCAGTCGCATGTTTCAAATCTGACTTTGAAAAGAGTGAATAAATTGAATGAGTGTATCATGTGCAGGACACAAATCTCTGCCTGAGAATTTTTTTGGATGACAATAATCACGGGAGTCCTTACGCACATGTCGCTCATCTCTTCCGAGACGTTGACAATGGCACTCAGTTTGAGATCTTTATGGATTTGCAGACTGGTAGCCTGCCTGTAATCTCCCATGTACAGCTGACCTGGGAGAACTTCCACAGGGTACGACATAAGGCTCTCTAGTTCCTGCAACGTCCAACCTCAAGGCATCAGTGTCCTGGTTCACGTAGCAGCCACATGATGGTTTCAAATATTTGCTTACAGAAGGGGATTACCAGTATAGTGTATAAGATCTTCTGTGTTCTCATGAAAGGGTAAAGTGCTGAAAACCTCTCATACCCCCCCTTCAGAATCCAGACCGGACAGAAGCACGATTTTGCCAGAACTTCGGCACACTCCATAGCTGGACCTAAATCAGGCTTCGTTAATCAGCATGACAAATGGAGACACTGTTGCGGCTCTAAATTACAGAAACTATCAAACTGACAGAAAACCCCCAGCATTAGCCAGCACTATATCAAATACATATAATAGAAACTTTTCATCCATTCATATAGTATTACTTTTCAGTAAACCATTGTAATGTAATTCAACCACTGTTTGCATATTGATCTGTCCAAAAAGCTGAGTAATACAGTGTGGCTACAGTAATTATACCTTACAGTTACACTGTATTCTATTGTGCAAGTGCATTCCATTGTGTAACACACAAATCCTTTTCAAGCAGCCTATGGCATATTTAAATGCATCTCTTAATCCATCCTTCCATCTTCCAACTGGTCACCGGGACTTACTACAACTCTTTCTGAAGATATTCAGCACATCTAGCATAATTGTTATGCATTTTCCGTAAGCTAATTTATAAAGATGCTGAAGTGGCTCCTGGTGAAGATTTCTTATCCTTAAAAGTCTGCCGGGGCATAACTTAGAAGTAACTTCAAATAATAATCATGAGGAGTAAGAATTCAAAAACATGGGTGAATGTCAGTGAAGGTGAATGTCAGTGAAGGTGGATGTCAGTGAAGGTGAATGTCAGTGAAGGTGAATGTCAGTGAAGGTGAATGTCAGTGAAGGTGAATGTCAGTGAAGGCACATTCTACTTACCTGAACCGAGCAGAAAACTAGTGCTGCTGTCATAGACAACACAATATCTCATACACTCAATCTCCACATCAGCAGGAATTAAAAACTTGCCCTCGGTGTCCTGAAGGGAGGAAAAAAGCATATTTCAGTTACCCTGATTTCTGCAATCAGTTGAGCTATTGAGTAATGTTCACTTTTTCCTCTTGGTATTGCAGTTTTAAACTTTCAACACAGTTTATAGTAGTACAGACATTTTAGGTTACCACAAACTTCACAAAATACCAGTTTTGCCTTTCTGGCAGTGATGATATGGCTTTCATTGTATTCCTCTTTTGAACGAGCATCTGGAACAAATAAGAGATCCAAATTTAGTATTTAATTTGTCCATTTTAAACATTTAACCAAGTGAACACGCTGGGTTGGAACAACTGCAAAATGAGCAGTCTGATCAGTTCAAAGAGACATTTTCTAAAGGCAATGTATCCTTCTTTGCAACAGTGTGTATTTGATGAAAAAAGGATGAGCATAGCCTATAGTCCACTACAACAACTTGCAATTATACTTCGGAAATGTATCCACCTTACCATTCAGAAATATTGCACAACTTGTCTCTTACCAATTAAGCAAAGATAGTTGAGCTCTGCAAGTCTAGACACAGAGAAATATTGATTCAGTATGTTGTAAACTTCGGTTGAATCGCAAAGAATTATTTGAGCCATTGCAAATCACCTGAAAAACAGACATGACACAAACCATGAAAAGACCTTACTCATATTTTTAATTACTAGATTATTCCGAAGGCCCATCAAGAATATAAATGAACCATATCGAACTACTGTGCCGTCTTGTACAGAGCAGCTAACTGAAAATCGGCAATAATTATACACTTATTAAGAGGAAATTGTTATATCATTACAGTTGACTCGGTGTGACTTGAAAACTTTTTGTTTGTACTTACATGTCTATTTCCCCATCCATATTAGTAGTACTGTGTTATGGATGTTCTGTTGTAACGACGGCATCACATTGCTAATATTTAACATTAATATTTAAGTTTAAAATTATTTTACTTTTAAAGACGAAAGTCATACCGAATAAAATGAACATAACCTGAAAATACTGTTCATAAACGATTCTAGAGTTAGCAGCAATATTCCCAGTCTTGGGGGGGGCTAACTTGTTAGGAGCTCGACGCCTAGGCAACAAAATAGAGGTAGGTGATTGGCTGGATATTACGTTTAGGTGATTGGCTAAGTAGTTTTTGTTTTCCGGGCCCACTTTTGTAGTAGCCAAACAGCGTCAGACTTTGGGCAGTGGGGCGTATCTGTGCCTTCTGATTGGCCACAATAGAATCCTTTCAATTTTAAAAAGTTCAGCTGCTTGCCGTATGTGGTTTGGGTATGGTGTCTTTATTATCGTATTATTTGAAATAAGTGTTTTGTTTGCAAAATTTGTTAAATTATGTATTTGAATCGTGCGAATATACATTCTCTTTTTTCGATTTAGTTGCTTTGGTTGTAGATGCACAGAGCAAATGTAGCTAGCGGGCTAAAGTGCTTGTCTGTCTTGGAAGACAAGTTATTTTTCTTGATTACTGCACGTTTTATTCAGTCACGCAAAATATTAAGCACCGTGAAAAGAGTTAGGGCGAATAGACTGTCGTGGCGCATTTAAATAGCATTTTAAGGATCCCGTATTATTTTTGTGGAGATCTCTTCAGAGGTAACTAATTCGTTCACTATCTATCCGATTTTAATGTGTAATATTTTGTTGACGTCATTATCTAGAGCATAGTATTCTATTGTAAGTATAACTCTTAAAACTCCAATTTAATTTAGGGGACAAGCTAAGTCATCTTGCTTTTATGTCGATAAAGATGATTGATGAATCGCGGCGTTTTAAGGGCGAGGTTCAGTAAGTGACAGATGCAGCTATTTAACCAACGTCCTTGACACGTCGGCAAATTATGTTTTGATGGTATTTGTGAGATTTGTAGCTATATATCTGCGAGTGGTTAAGTTCTTGCCTAGGAAAGAAACGAATTGGTTCCTTCCTATACGGAAGTTGGTTAGTACAAAGTCGGTTGAGCCATGAGAAGTGAACCAACCACCCAGGACATAACTGGGTCCTGATGCTGGACGAAATTCATTTGACCCATTCTGAGGCGTGCGAGTTCAGCAACTGAACAGTAACCGCTGGCTAGATGTCGGGTTACATTTTTATTGAATATAGTATCTGAAAAGTTGCACCACTGCTTTCATGGATCTTTACATGGGAAGTGTGCTCATACCGTTGATAGGTTTACTTTCTGGTGTTATAAAACTGTTGGAAATGTCTTATATATTTTTTTTATATATTTGCCATGTAATTTTGGTGTTCGCATTTCCGGTATTTTATATTAATTAGAATTTTTTATGTAATATATGGACTTGCAATTTAATGGTGAAGCGCACTGAACTGATATTAATTATTTGAAACCAGCATTATGTGTGTGTACATATATTTTATATTAAAGATCACACCATTGTAACTGCTCCAAATAGGCGTAAGGTTTTTCAGTGTCACTTTTTAAAGATGAATGAGCATTATGTTCATGACTGGAAACTGACATCATTTGATGTGAGACCTGAGTGTTGGACTTTTAAAAAGATATATATTATTGAAGTGGTGACAGACAAGTCTGTGCGCTGATTATTTCACTCTGCAGGGGCTGAAGGGCACAATGAGGAAGCGGAGGGACACAAGCAGGCGCTGGGCTCTGAAAACCAGCCGCAAAACGAGGCTGCAACACCCCGAGGCAGCAACAACCGATCCGTAAGAACGCAGATCCTTCCCGATAAACTTTAATGTCACACATTATGCCACAATTCTGTTTTGAATTGAGCAGTAATTAATATTAAAATAAACTTTATTCACTTCCAAAGTAGATGCAATTCAAACAGATTAAAAAAAGTACACAATACTCAAAATACCCTGGGGGGAAAAAATGCAGAATCTTGTGATCTTGAAGAAATAAATATTTAAAGATAAGAAAGATATATTGACGAAGTTATGTGCAAGTAATGAACAGATAATTTTGAGAACAAAACTGGGAATCTGACATCTGAAAATGTTTAACTGCCTGAAATCATCAGTCACTAGGGACCGTGTTCTGTTTCTCACAGCGTTGTCTGTTTCTTTAGCTCCAGTGGTTCTGCCCTTTCTCCAGCTGAGCCGAGCATCTTGGTAGACGTCTCGGTAAATGCGAGGAGGCCCTGGCTTCCACGACTGGGCGTTAACCTGCTGCTGAAGCTCGTGGGCAGAATTTGCCACGGCTGGAGGTTCAGCATTGTACAGGTGTGTGTTTGGAAATGCTTATAAAACTGCTATAGCGATTCCAGTAAAGGATGTAAACATCGTCTCTGGTTGTCACGACGACCATCTTTTGACCAGCAGCCCTCCCCTCTGCTCCCCTCGCCGATGTAGGTGTGTGCTGGCGTGCTGATCAAGCTGCTTTCCTGGCGGGACCACACGCGGCAGTTGGAGACGCTCCGCGGGCAGGTGGAGGAGCTGCAGAAAGAGATGATTTTCCTGCGTGGCGCCGTACAGGTCGGCTCAGGCTACAAGCAGAGGGATGCTTCTGATGTGCTGAGGAATTTGGTCTGATGTCGATGTCCAGTCCGGCGATCCTGCTTGTGGTCACATGTTGAATTGTTCTGTTTTTCTTTTAGCCAATCAGTGGGGCTGATCCAGCCTGCTGCTGTTCCAGGGCGGGGTCCGCTGTGGATTCTGTTCCCGCCCCCATTCCGCTTGCCCCGCCCCCTCCTCCACCACCTCCACCCCCTCTACTACCCCCACCTGATGCGGTCCCTCAGAGACCTGTCATCATTGTCACAAAGAAAGCGTCATCTGCATCCTCCCCGGTAATGGATATGATTCGATACTGAGCTGATGCTGGTTACTGCTGTAGGTGTCCATTACAGTGTCACGTATTTAACAGAGTGAGAAGAGGCATGCCACAAAAATGTAGCACTGCATTTGCCTCTAAGCCATGTACTTTTTATATATCTTACATTTTGAACCAGTGAATGCTTACGCTGCACCTCAGAAAAGCATAATGTCATAAAATCTGTACATCTATACATTTCATCCCGAAGAGTAGTTGAACATGCCAGATCATGATTAGGTTGTTTACAAGTTCCTCCTCTTCTTCATTCTTCAGAAGGCGAATGTGCGTCTGTCCGCAGTGACTTTGAAGGACCTTCAGAGCATAAAGCTCCGGAAAGTGGCCAACGCTGTCGTTGCAGCCAACAGAGTGAGTGTCCTGGCCGAAATGGCTGCACCGGGCGCATGTTTGACGAGAAACCTGCTGACTTGGGGGCGAACCTGCGCTTCTCTGAATTAGGAGTTCCCAACCTTTTCATAACAGTGTGTACCTATGCGTTACTTGCGATTTAATACAAAAATATCATCAACGTTATGGTATGTTTGCTAGCTTTCTGGCTTGCTATTGGTAGCAGGTGCGGTAAATCTGAGACATGACCGACATACAGCTGCCCCTTGTTTATTGGAAGGCTTCCATTCAAAAGACCTAGGGGGTCTTTCTCAATTAGCTGGGTTAACTTAAGCTAGAGGTCTTGGGTGTTCAATACGAATGCTCCTTACCTAAACTCATGTTGGACGATCATAACTTAAGTTAGCACAGCTAACTAAAGGTTGACTCTCCACCTGTCACAGTTGTCCTCGGAGACAAGCCGGGCCCCTCTGATCACTGTGGCTGACCTGCAAAAAGTGCACCTCCGCCGCCCCCACTGCAACTTCGCGCTCAAGCCGCACCTGGGCGTGAGCAGGTAAGCCCACAAGTGCACTGCGACCTGCAGTTCGCCATCATTCTGCGACATGCCGCCTTGTTTAAAAACACTACAGTTCACCACTTGTTAATCAAGTTTTATTGTGAATGGCTCTTTGAAGATGTAGCTGAATTAAACTCATTGCCAGTGTTTTTCAACATAGCTGTTGCAGTAAGTTTCTGCTGCAGGTGTTTGCCAGTGAGCCAGTGCAGAGAAATACATATAAGGCAGCCACTTATATCTGATCCCATGTCCACCCAAGGCAAAAATCATTATATAGTTGGATGTATAAAACTGACCATGTGGAATTCAGCTTATTCACTCATTTACCATCAATAATGATGTTTGTTTGAAATATCCTGCTAGATAGAAATCTTTGTTTAAACAGCCAAAATGATTTGTTTGTGTTTGAGATGTGGGGGGGGGGGTTTTCTAAATATTTTTTTTTCCTAAGAAGCCGTTTTGGTTTAGTTGCCACATTTCTAAAGTCCTCTGTGGACTTCAAAGGTCCCTTTTGAATTGAGAATTATGCACTACAAGTAATATGTAGTATGGAAAAGATGCAAATCTTTGGTTTATCTGATTTGTTTCTTTTCATTTCTACATAGATCACCTAATAAAAGTCCGGTGAATTTGCTCAAGCAGCTGAAAAAAGTTCAGATCAACAGGTAAACTTTCAGGAAACTTTCATTTTAGTTGGACTTGTGTTTGTTTTTGATGTTCAGTCTCACACTCAACTCCATCCTATTAGAAGCAAAGCGCAAACTTTAGTTTTGCCTGGCAAAGCTTCTTTAAAATGATGACTAGTGTGTATACGAAATGTCACATTATGGAAATGTCTCTCTCTGCTTGTGTACTTCGCTGTTGCAGGAGCCCTGGAGGAACACCAATGACCGACAAAGAGAACCAGGAGTGTGGCACCGGTCTGACCCCTGTCATGACCCAGGCTCTGCGACGCAAGTTTCAGGTACAGAAGCCCATGGACACACAGGGGCCCCCCTGGGACCTGCATCACAAAGCTGCATGTTTTGGGTTCACAAGATAATGTGTCATATTTAAGGTAGTCTGGGCTAAATGTAAGTGAACAAAGGTCCATAATATCCATTTAAACTGGGCTCCCTTAAATCCAACAAGTTAAGCAGCTGACCAACAAATGTCATTTCGTGATACAAGCCCCTGGTTTTTATGACGATGCTATTTAACATCAACTTTTCATTTTTGCATTTCCCCCAGATTGCAATACCCAGAAGCCCTTCTCCAAAACTCAAGAAGACCTTTGATGAACAAAACTGAAATCTGATATTTCATATTGTCACTCCGGTTTTTTTGTAACAAGTTTTAAAATTCATCAGAGTGTTTATAAAAACAAGCTTGCTGCTCACTGCAATAGCTTCTTTACAATGGCTTTAGCAACAGACAGAATTTCCATGACATTTGCAACTCTGTTCTTTCATCCTTCTACTGTAATTGGCTATAATTTGTTCTGTTCTATTAGTAATATTCTCATTATTGCTTCCTGTGTAATATGACCATGTGACCTGCCGCAAAGCCACCAGTGAAGAGCATGTCATGTCAGACTCTTACTGTTACTTCAGCTCTGTGTGGAAATCGACTCCGCTTACACTCCCTAAACAGCTAAGCGTAAGATTCTGATGGACGCTGATGTCTCACCGTATTCGTCTTTCAACAGAAGGCACAGGGATGATCGGCCGGATAAGAGCAGAGCTAGTTGCAGGATGCTAGCTAAAGTTTGGCGATACTGAAACCCTTCAGAAGTGAGGTCAATGAAATCCTGTGCACATGGTTTTTTTCCCCCTTTATTTTAATGGCAATTTAAAATTGCAGGTTTCTCGTGCACTAGCCTTTGACAGCTGCTTTGCACACATCATAAATGGCAGTCACACTTGGCAGTGATTACGCTGACTACCTTTTCAAGAATGCATGTTAGCCTTTTAATGAAAATGTATGAAAATACTTGAATTTGCATCACTTGTGCACATTTAACCAAAGTTTTGCCAATTTGTAAGAAATGTTTACATGTTTAATGTGCTTATTTTACATGTTTTTTAAAATGTGCAATTATTTTGTAAAATTTATATTTTTAATATTTGTGTACTCATTTCATTAGAAAGTAAAGGTGTACATTATTTCTGAAAACTCTTTGTATTATGGTTTGAACTAGTATTCCTCCCATCAAAATGTTGGCAAACAACCGATTTGTACTAATTTCCCTTGTAATAAAACTATAAAGTGACTCAATTATTTAAAAATAATTTTTAAATATTTTCAAAAATTATTGGTATGTGCAATTCTTTTTACAATGGAAATAACACACTGCACAGTTTGAACTTTATTAAAGATATATTCATATGCACTTGCTTTTATTCTAAAATCCCCTATTATTTTTTCTGGATATAAAAGTACTTTTGTTTTATACTTTCTGACCTTTTCATTATGGATGTCGGAGAGACATTACCCTTCTGAAACAGCGACAATAACAGTTGTGGAAATGTTTATTTCAAAATACAACATGGGTTATGATGAAAATGTTTTCTGACTAAAGCATAGAGCTACTGTACTCAGACTAGGATGACCATATTTTCCTTTTGCTATGGTCGCCCTAACTACAATACATTTTAAAGAACCTTAATCACATTTATGGACATGTGTAATACTGTCTGTTTCAAAACTACTTATGTCAGGCATCTTTTTTTTAATGCTCAAAATACAGTTATACTAACACAAAGGCACAAGAACATTCAGAGCATGAACAATATCCGAGGACAATGACAACAATACAAAACAAAGAAAAAAATAAAACAATTAGAGGCCTTCCAACAAATCGAAGTCCTCAGCTTGCTGTAAAAATCTCCACTGCAATTTTCTTCATGTAGATTTTGGGGCTCTTCAAATCTGGCTCTCAGTTTCAAATTCAGGCTGTGTTGTCAGTTCTACGTACTTACTTTAATAATTACTGATTATGATTGGCTGCAGAGGCTTCACACCTGGCTCACAAGTAAAAGAATGCTGGAAAATCAGCAATGCTCGGCCCTTAAGGACCAGGATTGGAATAACCCTGATGCATATCAATGCACCAAAAACGAGAAGTTCTCTGTGGAAAGTTGGGCGAGTTCTTAAAAAAGGACGCTTGACTTATCTGTTCTTTAATTTAACTATTACCTCGTGGGACCGTGAACCCAAAGTATCGAGCCCTCGTTTGTTTCAGCACGGAAGGTTTTGTTTGAAACTCACAGACGTTTACGTCACCTGTGTTTCGGAAATTATGGTCCGACCTTAAGATGGCGGTGCCCATGAGTATGGGTGCGTTACTGTTGTCAGAAATAGCAGAAGACCCACTGTACAAAGATGAGGGCCTTTGTGTGCTGGGCATCTTCGGGAAAAGCGCTATGCTGCCTGACTCCGCAAAGGAGTCCCTCGTTAACGTCCTGGCGGATAAGAATATTTTCCCTCTGTTCGGACCAGATGAGGCAGACTGTCCGGCCGGCGGTAGCTTTATCCAGGCGTATTACAGCCAAGACAGTCGCGTCCTGTACCTGGTGCTCACTTCAGTGTATGACAACCGGCAGCTTCTCCGAGCGTGTGAAACGCTGAGTACTGGGATCGGACATTCCGAAGCGCACGATTTCTGGAAAGGGGCGGAAAAGCAGCACTGCTTACAGTTGCTGTACCTATTCTCGTTGTGCCATATCCTTTTGCTGGTTCATCCTACGTGCTCATTTGATGTTACCTATGACAGACTATTTCGTGCTCTGGATGCTCTGCGGCAGAAAGTGCTGCCATTGCTGCGCGCTGCTATTAAGGACTGCTCGGTGTCCAAGGAATGGAAGCTGAACTGTAGGCCATGCCCTCCACGCCTGCTTTTCGTCTTCCAGATGAACGGGGTGCTGAAAGTCAGCGGGGGTACTGGGTCGTCAGGATTGAGCGGAAACGGCGCGGATGCGCCCGGGGGAAGCTCCGAGAAGCCCAAAAAGCACTCGCCACGGAGGCGCCTGCAGCATGCACTGGAGGACCAAATTTATAGGATTTTCCGCAAGAGTCGAGTCCTCACCAATCAAAGCAGTAACTGCCTTTTTACCGTTCCCGCAAACCAGGCATTCGTGTACGTGATTCCGGGGCCCGACGAAGATCCGATTGGTGCCTTGCTGGGGCAGCTGCGGGCGAATTGCGCCCTGCGGGAAAATGATACGGGAGTTTCGGTGCCTGGGAACAGGCGTTACCAGCAGATGCGCCACGCTGCCAGACAGCCTTCGTTCAATGTGGAGAACAGCAGCCTCTCTACTGCCGGCGGACAGCTAGTGGACTGCACCCTGAAGGAGTTTCTGTGGCAGCACGTCGATCTTGTGCTGACCAGGAAGGGTTTCGATGACAGCGTGGGTCGCAATCCTCAGCCCTCTCATTTTGAGCTACCGACGTACTCGAAATGGGCCCAGGTTGCATTTAAACTCTATCAAGTCTTGATCGACAGCAACGAGGAAGAGTCTGCTGAGCTTGCCATGAAACTGCAAGCTCAGATGAAGGTGTTAGAGGGTTTCCTTGACGCAGACTCCAAGTTCTCCGAAAACAGGTGTCAGAAAGCGCTCCCGCTTGCGCACAGCGCGTACCAGTCCAACCTGCCCCATAACTACACTACAACGGTACATAAAAACCAACTGGCGCAGGCGCTGAGGGTTTACAGCCAGCACGCGCGTGGCGTGGCCTTCCAGCGCTATGCAGTGCAGCTGCATGAAGACTGCTACAAATTCTGGAGTAACGGGCATCAACTATGTGAAGAACGGAGCCTCACAGATCAACACTGTGTCCATAAATTCCACCTCTTGCCCAAGCAAGGTAAATTCCAATACAGCCAGACCAGCCTGTTTATATACAGATATAGAAAGAGGTGACACAGAAAATGTTTACATTATTACGTGCTATATGTTAGGTTAAATTTTACTAGTGGCAGTTGATATGTATTGGAAATGCGTCTTTTGTTTTGTCATATGTTATCTGTAATTCTATATTTGTGCTCTGGGAGGAATGAAACAACCACCTGAGGTGTATGAGAGCGGGGAATAAGTATTTATTTGAGGATTTGAGAGAGAACTGATTAAATGAAATCAGGTCAGAGAAATGAAAACAAAAGTCAGCTTCAGTACAAGGATGAGTTTCTGGTTTTTATTTGTAAAGAACATGCAGCTGTGAGCTGGGTTGAGCTGTAGGCTGTAGATGCCGTTAGTGAGGTGAGGGAGCGCAAAACACAATCTTGTATAATGATTGAAAGCAGGGAAAAAAACTCCACCCTTGTGAAATAAACACACCCACCCTTACGAGATTAATAGTTTTCATGTCAAACACATTTATATTTATTGGACAGACGCTTTTTGTCCAAAGCGACGTGTAAACAAAATCGGGTTTGATGAATAGCGACCATCTGGCCAGCTCATTTGTCGACACTTTGTTTCCTACACAGTATGATTTGGTAATTATTCATTTGCTAAGCCAGTAATTGGGTGTGTCTAAAAGATTCTCCCTCCAATTCTGTGCAGGGGAGAAGCCGGAGATGGACCGGAACCCGCCCATCCTTTACCACAACAGCAGGGGGCGCTCCACGAGCTCCTGTAACTGTGGCCGCAAGCAGGCCACTCGCGAGGATCCTTTCGACATCCAAGCGGCCAACTATGACTTCTATCAAGTCAGTGTTCGGTGTCGCTGCACCTCCAAAATATCTTTCAGTTGTCTGCGTCTTATTTCTGCATTTTCTGAAATAACTCGTTCTTGCACAATGTTTGTTCTTAGATGCTGGAGGAGAAGTGTTGTGGCAAACTGGAGAGGATCCACTTCCCTGTTTTTCAGCCCAGCACGCCAGATCCGGCCCCAGCGTCTAATGAAGCTAACAAGCCCCTTGAGTCAGGGGCATCTGGGGAAGGAGAGAGGCTAAAGGAGAAGGAGACTTTGGGACATTCTCCTGGGGAGGGTACTAGCCTCAGCCTGGCCCTCAGCCTGGGACATTCCACGGACAGCCTTGGGACGTATGGGGAAGGGGCAGAGGGTCAAGAGAAAAGGCCCAGTCTAGTGGACAGACAGCCCTCCACCGTGGAGTATCTCCCAGGCATGATGCACTCCGGTTGTCCCAAGGGTCTCTTACCCAAATTTTCTAGTTGGTCTCTGGTAAAGCTGGGCCCAGCCAAGGCCTACAATTGCCACACTGGTCTGGAGCAACCCGGCTTCCTCCCAGGCTCCGCCTTCTTGCTTCCTTGGGACATCGTGATTCGCTGCCGTTCGGAGGAGGAGCCGGGACTTTCCGAGCCTCTCGATGGAGGCCCCTCCTCCTGGCCGGTGCCAAACAAAGCGTTGGCCGGGAAGCGAGGGGGAGTCAGTGGGCTGGGTCGGGGCCGCAGACGGGATGATGTGGCCCGTGCCTTCGTTGGCTTCGAATATGAAGATGGTCGGGGGCGCCGTTTTCTAAGCGCCGGACCAGACAAGGTGGTGAAGGCTCTCGGCCCAGGCACCGTCAAAGAACCCGCCACGCGCGTTCTTAATTCCGATATGCCCCTGTACATCCCCTCTCCCGCCCAAGGCCGGGGCCTTAAGCCTCACTACGCCCAGCTAGCACGACTCTTCGTTGTCGTTCCTGACGCACCTCTAGACATTATTCTCAACCCACAGGTAGGCTGTGTACAAATGGGACTCAACGTTGTGTGTTCAGTTTGACTACAGTTGGCCTATGTTGGCATCTTTTGAATTACTATTTCATATCAACACTGAATACTGGTCCCAGACAAGTTATTTATGTCAGAAACCAAGTTGGGGAAATTAATGCGTTTATTATTAATTGCGTAACTTTATCTGGTTATACACTAATGGCATATGAGTGGGTGATGGAAAAGATATATAATCAGTATAATTTGATTTCCATCATGTGGGACAGTTGGTTTTGACAGAATTGATTTTGTAATAATTGTAAGATTTTATAGGCTTGTTCATGTTTGTGTATTTGCTACATTGGCATTTAATACAGAATGTCAGACAGGTTGTCGCCCTTTCAAGATTTGCTTTATGTTAAAGAGGGTCGTCTTTAAAGTGTGATTTATTTTCTTCCGAACAGGTCCAGCCGGGACCCCCACCCTGCCCAGTGTTCCACCCAGAGCAGACTGAGCTGCTTCTGCCCCCAGACAGCTTCTGGGTGCTGCGCTTCCCGTACGCCTACGTGACAGACCGAGGGCCCTGCTACCCACCCAAGGAGAACCAGCCGCTGGCCAGCTACCGTGTTCTGAGAGGCGTCTTGCGTGCCAACACCGTCAGCCCCACACCCTAATGGCCACAGCCTTCCGGGCATCTGCCTTCCACTATCGCTGGCACAACAAACATGCATCCCTGGGAGACCTACGGACATCAGCTGTGTTGGGGGGTTTAAATAGTTAATTCCACTGTCTTTCCAGTTAGAAAAAAATGTTTTTGCCCAAATAGAACACAAACTCAGTGGACCTGTGCTTATACTTTGTTGAATTGGAATTGAATAATTATGAAAAATATCATTGTGTGGACAAAATTGCCACTACTGTTGTTTTGTGGGAGACATTGGTTGATTCTACACAGTGTGTACATATTCTCTAGTCCATGACATTAAGAAAATTAAATGCCAGTTTATATTTTATCATTGTCTTTATTATAAAAAAATAAAGTAGCAATTATTATTATTAATTATTAAGGATAGTATGGGTTTTTGGTGAATTTTTAGCACATGTACATTACTTTTGGATTGTTTTATGTGTTTAGATTAAAACCCCTTGTTTGAATTTACCATGATTTGTACAATGCATCTATTTATGGATTGTCTTATCTTCTGTTCTGCTTCCCTCTTAGTTACTTAGTGTCATTAGGTGTTTCATTTCCCAAATTGCAACAGTGTTTCATATACAAATGTGATTCTGGAAACACAGCTCTCTCTATTCGCACGAACTGATGCTTGACACTTCAAATGGAATTTCGTATGGAATACGTTGTTACAAAAAAACATGGGGTGTGCATTGTGTATTCCTGTTTGTGTGTATGCATAGCTAATCTTTCCATGGTTATGGGTGTTTGTTTTAATCACGTGACCCTCGAGCACAAGCTAGTCGTTCGTCCCATTGCGCATGCGCCGCGTTTTCCTGCGCTGCATATCTGGTCATCGGCTGGCGCCGGGGCTGTTTATTGCTGCACGGCGCGCTGTCTGCGCACTCAGTACTTGACGTTTACAGACGCGCGAAGAATATGGTAGTTTAAAAAACAAACAAGTAAGTAAATTCTGCTTCTTTGGGTATTGTTTTTATTATTACTGATTGCCAGCAAGCATCTCGGGGTGATAGCGATGCTCGGTACAGGTGTACCTGCCTGCTGTGCTCGCTTCTGATATGCGTTTCCCTTGCGCTTTCGGAATGATCAGCGAGGAACGATGTGCGCCGCCGTTTACGTCCTGTCCGCCGTTACTGGATACGTCCTCGCCTCGGCTCTTTTTCTCAAGTGTCCGTCTCTGTTGCATCGGAGGAAGCGGGAGCAGTTCCTCAGCAGACACATCTCCCACCGCGGCGGTAAGTGAGTCCACAGCCGGTTCGCCAGCGCTGTACTTCCCCTCTTCTGGGGCGGTCTGGTCCGGAATGATTCACTCTATTTACACGCGACAGTCTTTGTGCCCGTATCCCCGCTTCAATAACCTGAATTTAATGGTGACAGTCCCACACTGATGCAACATGATTCGTTTCTCGATTGATACCCTCCCGATCCCATGTCCGGATACTTTACAGTATGTTTTGGCACATGATTATATTGCGCGTATACGGCACAGTATTGTTATAGTAATATTATTATAGTGGGATAATCTTGACAATTGTAGGTGTCAGGTTTTCGCTGGATTTAACTATAACCGAGGTTGCATTCTGGGTATTTACAAGCTGTTGATTGTCTTGATGGATTTTGTACGGATTTCAGTAATCAATACTCTTATTCTTAAAACTGCTTTTTTCAAAACATTACCTCTGGGCGGAAGAGCATAATAGGCTATACAAAAAGTACAGTCATAGAGAGTATTCGGTATGGTAAGTTTCTTTAGAATTCTTCTAGTGTAATTGTAGATTTAGTTATTTGATACTTTAGCATGTATGAGACCACGGGATCCGGGAAGTATCTGCCCAAACGTGAAACTCCTCAAATGCAGTAAGACCTATGACTTGGCAATTTCTTTTTCCAGGTGCTGGCGAGAACTTGGAGAACACAATGGCAGCCTTTAGACAGTATGTCATTCGTTGACACCTCGCTTGCATGTGGATATTTTCGCAAAGATCATTTTCACGTTCCAGCGATTGGACAGTTTAAGATGTCCAGTTGTCCAGCTTTCCCAGTCTCAACCAGAATCTGAATGTTAAACAGTCAGGAATAGAAGGCTAATCGTAATCACTGTAAACTAAACGTACTGCAGTCTCCCTTTCTGAGTATTTAACGCTGCCTGTGGTTCTTCCTCTGCTCTCCTCGCGCGGCTCCGCCTCTCTCTTGGTCTGCAGCGCGGTGCAGCTGGGGACTGACATGCTGGAACTGGACTGTCATCTCACGAGGGATGAGCAGGTCGTGGTGTCACATGATGCCAATCTGAAGAGGCTCACTGGCATTAATGCCTGCATTTCCGATTTGCCCTATGATGTGAGTTCTCCTGCTGCTGGCTTCTACTCCTAACTCATCTTACTCACTGAATGACATTCCGAGCCTCCTGCCCCAGTGTGTTTCAACACCTTTCCTCTATGCGGTCCAGCTAAAATCTCTGTGCGTGTGTGTTTATCTGCAGGCGCTGCCTCCATACTTGTGCAAGCTTGGTGTGACTTTCCAAAGTGGTGAGTGTTGCATATTAAACCAGGGGAAGAAATTGCCCTTTCTGAGTATCTGAGACTTCCTCTTTGTAGTAGGTACCCCTGTCAAGCTCCTTGGGTCGACATTGCACTATGTTGTCTTTTGTCTTGCACTGTCTAGTCTTTTATTGTGCTGCTGTTTTGTCCTTTATTGCACTGTTGTTTGTCTTCTTGTCCCCCTGTGCACGTGTCCCTTTCCCTGCAACCGTAACACTAGAATCTCATAGTGTTACTCATAAAATATACAACAATGCAACTTGAAAACGAAAAACTGAAACTAATATTTCTCAGTGAAAACAATACATTAGGACTCCTATAGCACTGAACCTCAACTGGTGAATCGGAATCCAAAAATGGATCACGGGACCATTTTCATTGGGTCATGGAGTGTTTTTTTGTTTTTTTATGTTAGACTTTTTTGTTTTTTTGCAGTGCATGAACTCATTCTATTGTTACTACATTATGTATGTTATGGTGCTATTAGTTTATTATTTTTGGAAATAAATATGGTTCAGATTTTTTTAAATCTAGGTCGTGATTTAAGGACCACAGAAAAAGGTGAATCCTGAGCCTTAACTAGTTCAGAAATACTGTTACTATATAGTCTGTCACCTGCCACTATATCTGGGCTTGTTTTTTCTTCAGATCATGAAATGTCATAGTTTATTTTTCAGTCATGGGCTGTCATAAATAAGCAGTATGTTTTTGCGTTCAGGAGAGCTAGACCACAAGCAGTAATGATTGAAGTTACAGATACAGGCTGGGCAGAATCACTTGGCCCTGGAATGTAAATGCTGTCTCACATGAAGGCTGTGCCTGCAATGTGAATGACTGGGTGTGATTTTCACCTGTCTGGCATACAGAGTCCTCCTGTGAAGGAGGTGAGGACAAGCGCATCCCGTTGCTGAAAGAGGTGTTTGACTCCTTCCCAGACACTCCCGTCAACATTGACATCAAAGTCAACGACAACATCCTCATACAGAAGGTGTGCTTTCTTGGCATTTGCGTCAATGCATGAGCCCTTGTTTTGGTTTGTGTGCGTGTGTGTGTGTGTGTGTGTGTGTGTGTGTGTGTGTGTGTGTGAATTATTCCATATGCTAACCCCTAAAGTAACACTTGTGGGAGTTTTACTTACACAAAAATGTTCTGAGGCCAAAGCAAAAAATGATTGGTTCATAGCCAATCAGATTGTAGAGGAGGCGGGTTCAAGCAACTAGAGGAGGTGGGGACAACCTTCGAGTTGCATGGACGCACCACCCCTACAATCTGATTGGTTATCTCTCTGAACCAATCTTTTTTCTTTCTGGCCTCAGAGCATTTTTGTGTAAGTATAACTCCCACGAGCTAAAATATCCTAGTACAAGGACGTGACTGCATTTTGAAAATATTTCTTTGCAGGTCTCAGAATTAGTCAAGCAGTATAACCGGGAGCACCTGACCGTATGGGGCAATGCCAGCAGCAAGATAGTGCAGAAGTGCTACAGGGAGGTAGGTGGCGCCATTGAGCACAGGGTTCATGGCTGCTAAACCATTCAGTGCTGTTAACATGTTTATGGACTTGTATGTATAATCTGATATATGTGTTTATGTGATGCTTTATGTAAGTTCAACAAAACAAGAGGATTCGACCTATAAGCCCCGGTGTCACATTTGCACGTTAAGTCATGCTAAAAGCCAAGAAAGAGCGTAGACTATTTGCAGGTCGGTCTTTAATATGCTCTTTAAATGTAATGTGCTCTTTAAAGTACCAATCAAAAGTTTGTGCACACCTACCCATAGAAAGGTTTATTTGTAATATTATCATTTTAGAATAATTATAAAGACATCAAAACTATAAAATAACATGTATGGAATTATGTACTGACCAAAAAAAGTATTAAACAAAAAAAATATTTGTGGTGGCAGTCTTTTGGGTTGAAACTCAGAAGGTTGCTGGTTCAAATCCCTGAGTCAGCAGAGTGATCCCACCACTGGCCCCTTCATCAGCGCCTTTAATCTCAGTTACTCCCAGGACTGACTGACCCAAATGTCTCCTCTACACCAGTTTCATGAGTGGCCTCCTGGGATGCTTTTCCAGCCGTCCAGAAGTTGGTCCCACATATATGCTGCGTCACTGGCTGCTTTTCCTCCACTCTCTGGTCAAACTCCTCCCAGACCATTTCTTCTGTGTTTGGGTCAGGTGGCCAGGTCATGCGGTGCGACACTATCACTCTCCTTTTGACTCCTGTGTAACTCTCCCCTCCTGCCAGAATCCCCACATTCCCATTCTGTTCAGCATGAGGAGAGTGGTCATGCTGGTGGGGCTCTTCTACACCGGCCTGCTGCCCTTCGTGCCCCTCAGAGAGCAGTTCCTGGAAATCCCCATGCCGTCCATCATCAGAAAGTAAGAGCTGCAGTGTGCTGATGTGCCCTGCTGGTGGCGATCTGTGTGTGTCTCATATCCCTCTGGTTGTCTGCTGATGACCTGGCACATTGACACGTTTTGTGTTGTCTGCTGATGACCTGGCACATTGACACGTTTTGTCACAGCAGTCACTCTCCCCCGAAATGGCACACCGGCGCACATTGACACGTTTTGTCACAGCTGTCACTCTCCCCCGAAACGGCACACCGGCGCACATTGACACGTTTTGTCACAGCTGTCACTCTCCCCCGAAACGGCACACCGGCGCACATTGACACGTTTTGTCACAGCTGTCACTCTCCTTTGTCGCCCTGTCGTGCTGCCGGAGCTGCCAGCTGATGACAGCGCTCAGCGAATAGGCAAAAAAACGCATGAATTCCTGTCTGACCGTTTCCATTAATGCCGCATTGCCACAAATCCGGTACGTGTGTGATGTAGGACCACATGTGAAAGTGACTTAAATCTGACTTAAAAAGGCTGGACTTCTGTGTCCGTACAGCCCTGCAAAAATCAGATCTGTGTCACGCTAAGGCAAAAAGTCAGGTTTGAGTCGCTTCAGCCTGATAACCCCCTGTTGGCCCTTACTAGCCCCAGACTATGGTTCAGTACACAAAACAGTTTTAATATGCATGGATTACGGTACTTAAATATATGCACACTGTAGGGTAAGGTATACTATTACTTAAATATCTGCGCACTATATACCTTCTATACCTTTCTTAGTTTTTTATATTTATGTACGGTCTTTGGAATGACCAGCTATACATTTCGCTACATGTTGTACTTGAATAACTATGTATGTGATGCATAAAGGAATCTTGAATCTTAATGTGAACGTAGCCTTAGGGTCCCGAAATTCCGGGTTTGTTTCTAACCTATTCCGTAAGTCTGACTTGTCCAAACCGTAATGCACGCTGTTTATACCTTTTGCCAAAATGTCCTTCTTGTGAATCCTTGTTCTCCTGATGCCTACCGACTGCCCCTTATTCTTGGCCATCATGGCCAGCGTTCTCGGACCGTTCTCTGGCTCGTATTGATTAAATTGCCCATTTTGTATGTCTGGGCAGGCTGAAGGGTCCCGAAAATATGACGAGAAGCCAGAGGGCAGCCGTCTGGCTCACCGACACGTGAGTATTTCCACAGCTTCAGTCCCAACAGCAGCTACACTGCGCACTCTGGAGGAGTCGCGTTAAATTTTGCTTACGATTCAATAGCAATTGTTTTTCGCAGTTAAATTACCTGAATAAAAACAACTGCTATTGCATGGTCTGGTAAACCACATCTTTTATTCTTCAGTTTTTGACAAAGGTTTTATTTGTGTTCTGTGAATGTTTAAGAATCGCCGTTTTTCTTCTTCATAGGCTGCTGATGAGAAAAGCCTTGTTTGACCACTTAACTGCAAGAGGAATTCAGGTAGCAGGAAAAAGTGGAATAATTGTTGATCGTTTTTTCATGCTTTCATGCTTTTCTTTCGGCTAAAAAAAATGAAGCATTCTGCTTTGTGTCTTGGGTGGATGTGGGTGTGTTTATCCTGATATTTTTCAGTTAATATAACTATATTATCACCCAGCCCTAATTAACTGATTACAAAAGCAATGGCTCAATTACAAAAAATAAAAATTTGAATAATTTAAAATGGCTGCACAAAAAATTATGGTAACACTTTACTTGACAGGGCACAAATATAGTATTATGCTATTACTTGTATAAAAATGAACCACAAACTGATCTCATGATTATTCATCATTAATGAATCATAATGCATCTTTTATCCTGAGCAGTTACTATATTTGTTACTCTATCTGTTTATTCTATAAACCTTTGTGACTGAATATCAAGTCAGATACTGATGTCATTAATGAATCATGATGCATCTTTTATGCCAAGCAGTTACTATATTTATTCCATAAATATTTGTGAACTACTGAAGGAACAATCATGAATAACACAAGTGAAATACCGATCTCATGTTTGTTCATCATTAATGAATCATAATGCATATTTTATCTCAAGTAGCTACTATATTTTTTCATTATTTGTACTTCAGTAGAAACTGAGTTATTACTAATTGTTTGTGCCCCATCAGGTAAAGTGTTACCAAAATTATTAATAAAGTCTAATTTCAAAAAAACTAGAAACTATGGCACTAAATGGTTTGCTATTGAATTTATTTATGTAATTTTGCCACTTTTCAATGACATCTTGGAATGTTGTCACACATGGTTCTTAAAAGTCCGGCTGTGTCCGGCACTCTCAAACCAGCCGGAACGCACATGCTCCATTTTTTCCCCAGGTCTACGTCTGGGTGCTGAACGACGAGGAAGAATTCAAGAGAGCCTTCAACTTGGGGGCCACTGGAGTCATGACAGACTTCCCCACTAAGCTGAAGGAGTTCATGGAGCAAAATGGCATGACAAGGTCCCACTGAGCTTCTGCCACACACTTAAGCTGCTGGACGTAAGAGCCCTGGTCTTCAGGGCCCTGCTTCATGGTCTGCAGGGCGGGGTTTCCCCATTCTTGGGGAACACCCATATGCACTATATTTTTAAAGCCAACCTCATAATGTCTTTAGCTTCATTATCTTGTGATGAAACGTTTGTACTGACATCACATCTGACGCTACAGGTTCATATATGCATGTATCACAGAATAAATTACCTTGACTTTTGTTAAGGCTGTGCCTACTTTAGATACATACTTTGCTGCTCGGAAAGGTGCAAATAAAAAAACTGAGGCAATATCTCAATATTTTTTTAAATCGGACACCTCTCAAAAGTCTTCTGCCGTGGAATATAAGGGCCATTTGGAGTGTGAATGGTGGCGGATGAATTCCGAAAAATCAGTTTAATTAATCCCTAAAGTAAACCACCTTAATATGTCTGTTAACATGCCCAATCATCATGTATGCACAATTAAGATGTAAAAAGATTTTGTCAGTTTGTTGCTGGTGTTATCCCATCACGAGGCATTCAGTTTGTCATAAATTTGCTGATTTTTCAATTTATATTTCAATGCGTCAGTTTCTAATGACATAAATAAGATACTCTTAATAAAGACTATTTCATCAAAAAAGAACAAACACCTATCTGATTTTCATAGCTTTATAATTGGATCAATGACAATAATGTTAGTCACTGGTGTCACAGATGTGGTGCAACACCAGTGACATTCTGATTAAAATGGAAGGTGACGTTGTGTGACCATTTATAATCAATGTAATAAGACATACTGGATTTTTTTTTTACAAAAGTTCAGTTACCCAGCCCTTACAGCACTTAACACCTGTGATGTGTAGAAGCTGCTACATGTCATTGCCCTAGAAACAAAATTATCAATAAATTTATTAAATAAAATGAGCTAGAATGGATTCACCTTCTCGTTCCTTGAGATGCTTCGTCTACGATGGCTCTTCACTCATGGATACAGTTTAATAGAGCAAGACTTAGGCGTTACATGTTAAATAATTTGTGTCCCACTATTGCCAGTGACCAAAATCACTGTAACAAATGTATTTTTGAAGTAAATGACATATTTTAATGTAATACAATGTTAGTCATGTATACTTTGAAAAATGTATGCAGTTTCATAAGTACCTTTTAAAAATATTGTTTTATATTAAAATTGGTTATTAAAACCATTGACTGTGACAAGCTGTTTTACAGGTGCCAAGCAACTATAAAACATGATAGAAATGGAAAAATCAACCAGATCATAAGGGAAGCATGTTATTTAGTAACACATCACCTGTGTGAATGTTCATGCTGATTCTTCGCCCCGTGCCTCATATTTTAAGCATGTTTTTATGTCTTGCAGACTCCGTGACATGGTTTCCGAAAGGAGAGCCACCCATATATGATGCGTTATCATCCAGAACTAGGGGATAGATTGTCAATAATCTCGTTAATTATGAAGTTAGCTGAATCAGAGAAAGCAGTAACTGTGATCTTGCAGGATTAACCAACGCTGAGACTGGGCAACACTTACTCGTACTTCCCTCAGGTATGATTCAGTCCTGATCTTTAAGACTGCAGGCTGTGCAATTTATGATCAGTTTTCGGATGGTTTGATGTCTTTCGGTGTGAAAAGCGTGTCCTTGTTTAACCGGCCAGCTTGCAGAATCCTGTTCTCAGCACTGACATCACGTTTTGAGTTCATAGCCCTAGGGCAGGGTTACCCAGGTCCGGTCCTGGAGGGCGAGTCTGTGTCACAGTTTGTAGATTCCCTGCTCAGACACACCTACCAAAC